AATAAAAAAATATATATAAAAAAAAACTAGCTCCACCAAGACGATGGCTGCGTCCGAAATGGCATACTTCCCTACTATATAGTAGGCAAAAAGCAGTAGGCGAGTAAATAAGTATGTTTGAATCCTTCCTCAGTATTCATAAAAGAGTAGGCGAGAATTGCACTAATCATCGCGAGATTCGGACGTGACCTACGTATTCTTAATTTGCGTTCTAATATGTCTACTTACCTACTATATAGTAGGGAAAAAGAGTACGTGAACAGATTAGTATGTCCGAAACCGCAATACTCAATTAGCTCATTAAATAACACAGTTGCAACTTTCGATTTTAACAACCTGTTATTAAATATTGGAATACCTAAGATTAATGAATGTTCAGAAGAATTTTTCATTGGCAGTTTATGTTAACTAATGTTAACTAATGAAGCCCTAATGTAAAGTGTGACCGAACAATAAAGAATCAAAACACTTTCAAACAATATCTAGGGCATGTTGTAGTCCAGATTAAAATGTAAAAAAGTTTGAAAATAAATAGCCTATTAAGTCTAAATATTTAAGTATTTGGTGCTGTGATGAACATCATGGAAAATACACAAATCTGAATGGCTGTTTAAATCATTTAAACATGATTCAGAAACAGAAAGTAGTGCAGCTGCTTTGTTTACAGGGTTTACGGGGTAACGGCTGCATTTAGATTGCAGTTTAGCGCCACCTGCTGTCAGAGAGTGAAAGTGCGCTTTCATCCAGAGCATCTCTCACATGTTCCGCCATGTGCTCCTCGTCCGCGCTTATTTACATCAGAGTGCGCACACCTCTTTCACACAGCATACAGCGGTGTTGTGCATTTTGACCAGTTTATGGGAAAAGTATTCTTAAAATGCATTCAAAATTCTGAATAATTTATTTATAATTATTCATGGTATTTAGAAGTGCCCACGATAACAATATCGTGCATATTCATTACCGTGATATATCGCATTACCGAATACCGGCACAAGTCTAATGTGCATTTGATGCAGAGCTTTTGTGGTGGAGCAGGTGACAGCAGCATTTGTCGAAATAAGGGAAAACCTGAAACAAAAATATAAAGTAAAATCAAATAACATTGTGCTGTTAAAATGACTGCTTGTGTTTGTGCATCTTTGTAGGATCTGAAATGTCTGCAGACTGGTGTGAGCAGTGAGGATGGAGGAGTCCAGAGCAGCATCCTGGAAATGGTCCGGTGCCATGAATGAGATGCTCCATCACACAGAAAAAACAAAACACACACAAGGATTGAACAGCGTGGAGGCGAGTCAATAATGACTGAAATTATATTTATGAACATATGAAATTAAATTTAGCAAGAAATGGAATGCCGACAGCATGAAATGTAAAACGTTTTACTCCGTGTAAATGTTTTACAGGTAGCCGTGCTCTTGGAGAGCAGGCACACAGATGTTTGGAGCAGACACAGCAGCAGTCAGATTGTCCCACACATGTTCAAGATTGCGTGGTTCAGGGGTGTCATCATGGTCTTCCTCATCCTCTCTGTGCACTCAGGCAAGGACAGCCTCGATGTCCCTTTCCCATCAGCAGTGATGGTCGTGATGGACGGCAGAGACAGGTGAAGGTGGACACGGTGGTCAGCTGATCCATCAGAATAAAGCTGCAGAACTGTCTCAGCTGTGTTGAGATGGCAGTAGGATGTGGGTTCACCCTTTGTAAATACATGTTTGTCAGAACAATATTTGAATAAAGCTTTGTTTCATGTGTCGATAGTTACTTTTATTTATTTTTTTACTCATTTATGTTTCCTGTTGTTGTCAGTAAATAAAATATAGCTTGTTTCATTAACATAGCATTAATTCATTACTTGACTGAAAATGTAGATGTATTCACCTTGGCTGCATTTGTCTTGTGTGAAGTCATGCATAGCTATGGCATATGACTAAACAAATTACAATTTGTTTTACTAAAAAAATATAATTAATTATTGGTCAGCGTTTATAATTATTATTGCTCATAAGTGTTGGGGTGGGCTAACAATGCTTTCTGAGGTAATCTTAATTTCTAAGTAGTAATACTTACATTTTTCGAGTGTAAAATTAACAGTCTTCTCCAAAGACAAGATCTTTGAGCAGCTGATCGACGTCTCCGCTGTGCAGATATTACAAACGCTGAGGAAAACCATACTAGGTAGGATTGTCATGTTACTGATGCTATGAAGTGTTAGTGCACCTGTCGCTCTTATGTTCTTTTTATTATTATTACTGCAGAACTTATAATTACATAAAAGCTCAGGGAAAGATGGTGAACAATCATAATTACAAAAAAAACAGAAAACATAACTATAATGGGTTTGCGTACATCATAGTATGAGATTATATATACAGGAAAAAAAGGATTAAATATCTTTGAATAATCATAATATTCATATAATCATAATGCATTATAAAAATAAAATGTGTCTTTGTTGTTTTGTTATTTATAAGCCTCAGGGATGAAACAAGAGAGACATTCAACAAGAAAAAGGAAAACAAAGGAGATTTAAGCAAGTTTTGCATGTGGATGAACAATTTTGCACATAAAATAAAGAAATTAATAACATATTCACGAGATAACGATTTTGAGTTTTCGTAATAAAAATAATATCTTTAAGGATTAAACTGTGGGTCATTTTAGTTAAAAATATAAAAACTTAAATCAACACAAAATGTATTGGTTATACTACAATCACAATAAAAGGGCAGCTGTTTCTTCAACAAATTTCAATCAACATAAAAATATTTACAGATAGATGAATTAAAGGGGTCATATGATGCAATTTCAATTATAATGGGTTTGCGTACATCATAGTATGAGATTATATATACAGGAAAAAAAAGGATTAAATATCTTTGAATAATCAGAATATTCATATAATCATAATGCATTATAAAAATAAAATGTGTCTTTGTTGTTTTGTTATTTATAAGCCTCAGGGATGAAACAAGAGAGACATTCAACAAGAAAAAGGAAAACAAAGGAGATTTAAGCAAGTTTTGCATGTGGATGAACAATTTTGCACATAAAATAAAGAAATTAATAACATTCACGAGATAACAATTTTAAGTTTTCGTAATAAAAATAATATTAAACTGTGGGTCATTTTAGTAGAGTTAAACATATAAAAACTTAAATCAACACAAAATGCATTGGTTATACTACAATCACAATAAAAGGGCAGCTGTTTCTTCAACAAGAAAACATAACTATAATGGGTTTGCGTACATCATAGTATGAGATTATATATACAGGAAAAAAAGGATTAAATATCTTTGAATAATCATAATATTCATATAATCATAATGCATTATAAAAATAAAATGTGTCTTTGTTGTTTTGTTATTTATAAGCCTCAGGGATGAAACAAGAGAGACATTCAACAAGAAAAAGGAAAACAAAGGAGATTTAAGCAAGTTTTGCATGTGGATGAACAATTTTGCACATAAAATAAAGAAATTAATAACATATTCACGAGATAACGATTTTGAGTTTTCGTAATAAAAATAATATCTTTAAGGATTAAACTGTGGGTCATTTTAGTTAAAAATATAAAAACTTAAATCAACACAAAATGTATTGGTTATACTACAATCACAATAAAAGGGCAGCTGTTTCTTCAACAAATTTCAATCAACATAAAAATATTTACAGATAGATGAATTAAAGGGGTCATATGATGCAATTTCAATTTTTCCTTTCTCTATGGAGTGTTACAAGCTCTTGGTGCATAAAGAAGATCTGTAAAGTTGCAAAGACTAAAATCTCAAATCCAAAGAGATATTCTTTATAAAAGTTAAGAGTCAACCACGCCTACCTAAAACGGCTCGTTCTAACACGCCCCCACATGTCTACATCACGATGTGGGAAGATTTGCATAACGCTGCCCAAATGTTCACGCAAAGAAGGAAGGCGTATCTTATTTTCTATGCTGTAGTATTGTTGCAGCCGCCATGTCGTGAAGACGCTGTGTGTTTCGTTGTGAAAGCGAAACTACTTTGTTTGGCCTTCCAAAAGAGGATGATATCCGCTTCGTCATGCCCGGACGCTCCTTCGTCGAATCTGCCGGCCGCCGCTCACTCTAGCCATCCGGCCTCCAGCCTCAGCCCGCCGTGTGTGACGCTGTGTTTCGTTGTGAAAGCGAAACTACTTTTTTTCGTAGGGGATGCATTACATCTTAATATTTTTCTTCTCTTTTCCATTAATTGTTATAATCGCAAACATTAATTTATACGAAGTAGGCCGAGTACAGTTGTAACTTTGCTGTAGGCTACTGCACAAATACTGACCGGAATACACTTGGTATTTGTTTCTTATGAGATGTCTTTATATGTGTGTGTGTGTGTGTGTGTGTTTGTATATATATTTATCAGACCTACAGTGAAATATATTAGTGAAGTACACTGACACATTATATATTGTATCAGTTAATTATTTTCACAGTGTTGGCAGATATTCATTGTTCCACTATCAGTGCAGTAAATTATTACAAAGTGTTACATCTGTGCCACACTGACCACCTAGTTGTTTGCCTGATTTTAGCAGCAACCTAGCTTGCCAACACATCCCAAAAACATGAATATAAAAAACTAATCAATAATTACTACGAAAAAGTTTGCCTTATGATCAGGCAGGAAAAACATGTACCCACCCAAAAATAATTCATAAAAATATATTTTTCCAGAATGTGATCTGCTAATGTGAATGTGCACACAGATGATAACAGTTTAACAAAGAAAAAAGACTATTAAAAGTTATAAAGCAATAGTTCAGATTCATGGATTCAGTAAATAGATGGTCTTTGGAACATTCTCAAATCATGCTGGAGAACACGATCATTAGGTTTTTATGCAAACTTATGGAGTTGTCAGTACTCCATAGTATGCCAGTAATATAATTTGTAGAGAAATATTTAGGAATTAGGAAAATATAAGCAGTGTATATTGAAACTGACTGAGTTCCTCTCTGATTTTTTCTCAGAATTGCTGTGGTCTACTGGGTCCAGACTCCAGTTCATCCACTAGATGAGGTTCCTCATTCTTCAGCAGTTTGTAGAATTCTGCTTTTACAGCAGCTCCTCCAGAGTCAAGAGCATTCAACAAGAGTCTTGTTTTCTCCTGTCGTGGTTCTGCAGCATGAACTTTACTGTAGATTTCATCTGGAATCATGTCTTTGGTCCTCAGACCATCAGCAATAGTCATCACTGATGAAACTCTCCGGATTAGTTCATCTCTGTGTTTTTTTCACAAATTCACATTCTGATTGAAAAAAAAAAATCGAATGACTTATCAGACATGGTTGTTTGTGATAGAAAGAACACCATCAGCAATAGTCATCACTGATGAAACTCTCCGGATTAGTTCATCTCTGTGTTTTTTCACAAATTCACATTCTGATTGAAAAAAAAAAATCGAATGACTTATCAGACATGGTTGTTTGTGATAGAAAGAATAAGGTAATAGCAATGTCTTTAAGTTTATACCTGTGAGCCTTCTGTAAGCAGGAGGTTCTACATCTTGGCCTGATGTTATTGCAAAAAAAAGAAAAAGACATTTGATCTCTGAAAAAAAATCTGTCATAAATACCTTGACAACTTTAATATTTGATGGTACTATTTTATGAACAATTGACATTGGTAAAGACTTTACAGATCATAAAACTGAATTTAGTACAATGGGTTAGATAACAAGGTAAACATTATTTATATAATAATCATATTATTTTTTTTATAAAACAGTATAAATAGTTAATAAAGTTTACATGTAAGGATCAACAATCAGGCATAGATAATTAAGATAACATAAATAAACTGATTCAAATTGATTTAAAAATGCCACCAAAATGAACAAAACTGCTCAACAAAGTCCAGATAGGGGGCCCCAAAAAATGCCCCTGGACAATTAAACTAAATATATTATGCGTGTTTCAATAAAAGTGAAATGTGAAAACGAATGTAAAGTATCAATTCACGTCATTACATTTAGATTGGCGCATGTCGCGTGCAAGTTTCTTTTATGCCTCGCAAATTCTCTCACCCTAAAAAACAAAGAGCAAATATGACGCAAGATATTAACTTTGAAGCTGATTATAACGGAATTGTATTTATTTATTTATGCAAAAGTGCACAACTCGAACCAACATGATTGTCTTTGTAGCTGAAATATGATGTAATTTCCACAAATGCAAAAACATTTTTATATCTATTTTATAAAACAACAGTAATAATCAATATTACAATATCAAAAGCCATAATCAATATAATTAATGTTTTTTTTGTTATAATATTGCAGCCCTAACCTGTAATGAGTTCCTGTTTTTTGTAAATGAATATAACAGTTTATAATATTTTGATTGATTGAAGTAACTGGTTACATTTAAGTATTTGACATAAAAGACAACATAGATACAATTAATAAAGTAATTTAAAAAAATTGCCCTTTTAAAAACTAATTTCCTTAAATGTACAATAGTATGTACTACGCACAGTAGTCTGCCATTGTCAATGACTAAAATAACACAGAAATAACATTTGAAAAAGCAGGTAAGGGCACACCTATGGTTATCATATTTATAGGACGCACAAAAATCAGCAAGAGTTATAAGTGATAGATCTTGTATTGGTTGGTCATTTGTTTTGTACATTTACAGATTGTAAATCAATAAATGTCTTAATTGTTGTGTTTTTGTGGACCCCAGGAAGACTAGCAGTGCTCTTAGGCACAGCTAATGGGGATCAAAACAAATAATACACTAATACAAATACAAAAATAAACAAATGAAATATATTGATCACCTGGGTTTAGACACCAACTAGACACTTTTATTAAACATTGTTCATTAGACTGTTAGAAGATTTGATTTAATGTTATTTCATGACTCAGATTACAATTGCACCCAACTTCATAGCCATGAAAAATTCTTGCATATTGAAATCCATATTTCATGACATTCATTACCTGTGAGAACGATCCGACGTGGTTCCCACACTTCCCTTCCTGTTTTATCCAAAAGACTCAGTCTGATTTCCTTTTTGTTAACATCCACAAACACTTCAAATGTGGGATGATAGTTTGGACCATAATTACACTCAAACGTCTCTGACTGAAAAAAAAAAGAACTGCAAATTGAAGGTAAGAGACAAAATTACTCAAATAATCCTTCAAACAAAAATTACTCATGGTGCAAAATGTGCTAAAAACTTCATAAGTGATGCATAAATCAATAAAAACCAAATCTACACTGAAATTGATAATTATACATTGTACTGAGAATGTCTCGGTTACGTATGTAACCCTTGTTCCCTGAAGGAGGGAACAGAGATGTCACGTCGTGACCGATGAATTGGGATCTCGCTTAGAGAGACCAATCCACTTCGAATGTAAACTAAACGAGCCAATGCACATTGGCATGCAATGATTGCATCCAGCTGCTGCTGATCACAGCGTGAGCATAAAAAGGCAGCCGGTGCAACGCATACCGGGTTTTCACTGAGACAGCGACAACAACTGGCAGTGAGAGGTTTCTGGAGAGGCAAGCAGGTCTACCTGAGTGGCTCCGAAACGTCTCCAAATCAGCTGGACCATCTGGGGATGGAGTCTCCATTCTCCCGGGAGCATTGCTTGTGACAGCTCGTCGGCCGTACTGTTGAGCAGACCCGGAATGTGAATGGCACGAAGTGACCTCAGACCCTTCCGACTCCAAAGGAGGAGGGTGGCGGGTGAGTTGCGACATGCAACGGAAGTGCAGACCACCTTGTCGGTTGACATACGCAATGGTCGCCGTGTTGTCCGTTCGGACCAGGACGTGCTTGCCTCGTAACCGCCCTTTGAAATGATTCAAGGCAAGGCGCACCGCTAACAACTCCAGGCAATTGATACGCCAGTGCAGTTGGGGCCCGTCCATACCCCCGACACTGAGTGCCTGTTGTACGTGGCCCCCCAGCCGGTGGTGGAGGCATCCGTGTAAACCACAGCATGCCTAGAGACCTGTTTTAGGGGCACTCCTGCCCGGAGGAACGCAAGGTCTGACCACGGGGTGAAGGTTTGGCGACAGGCCAGTGTAACTTGGACCCAGTGAGTGCTGCGTTGCCACGCCCACCTCGGGACTCGGCCATGAAGCCAGTGCTGAAGCAGTCTCATATGCAGCAGCCCCAGCGGTGTAACTGCCGCTGCAGCTGCCATATGCCCCAGGAGCCTCTGAAATAGTTTCAGTGGGACCGCTGTCCTGTCCTTGAATTAATTCAAGCAGTTCAGCAACGATCGCACACGTTCCTCTGTGAGGTTTGACCGAATCCAACTCCATACCGAGAAAAGAGATCCCCTCCCAGGAGAGTTTTCTCTTTTCCCAGTTGACCTGAAGGCCCAACCGGCTGAGGTGCGAAAGCACCAAGTTCCTGTGTGCACACAACTGATGCTGAGACTGAGCTAGTATGTGCCAGTCGTTGAGGCATTTGGGAATGCGAACGTCCTGTTCTCTCAGGGGAACAAGGGCTACCTCCGCAACTTACGTGAAGACATGGGGCGACAGGGACAGCCCGGAGGGCAGGACCTCGTACTGATATGCTGGGCACTCCTGCCCGGAGGAACGCAAGGTCTGACCACGGGGTGAAGGTTTGGCGACAGGCCAGTGTAACTTGGACCCAGTGAGTGCTGCGTTGCCACGCCCACCTCGGGACTCGGCCATGAAGCCAGTGCTGAAGCAGTCTCATATGCAGCAGCCCCAGCGGTGTAACTGCCGCTGCAGCTGCCATATGCCCCAGGAGCCTCTGAAATAGTTTCAGTGGGACCGCTGTCCTGTCCTTGAATGAATTCAAGCAGTTCAGCAACAATCGCACACGTTCCTCTGTGAGGTTTGACCGAATCCAACTCCATACCGAGAAAAGAGATCCCCTCCCAGGAGAGTTTTCTCTTTTCCCAGTTGACCTGAAGGCCCAACCGGCTGAGGTGCGAAAGCACCAAGTTCCTGTGTGCACACAACTGATGCTGAGACTGAGCTAGTATGTGCCAGTCGTTGAGGCATTTGGGAATGCGAACGTCCTGTTCTCTCAGGGGAACAAGGGCTACCTCCGCAACTTACGTGAAGACATGGGGCGACAGGGACAGCCCGGAGGGCAGGACCTCGTACTGATATGCTCGTCCTTCGAACGTGAACCGCAGAAATGGTCTGTGGTGTGGAAGGATTGACACATGACACCCTTAAGGTCACACGCATCCTTCAGGTCGATCGCTGCAAACCAATCTTGGGGACGGATGCACCCAAGGATGAGTTTCTGCGTCAACATCTTGAACGGTAACCGGCGAAGGGCCCGGTTCAAGACATGCAGATCCAAGATTGGTCGTAACCCACCGCCTTTCTTGGGTACAATGAAGTAAGGGCTGTAAAACCCTGTATTCATATCGGCTAGAGGTACCGGCTGTATTGCATCCTTCGCCAGTAAGACTGCGATCTCTGCACGCAAGACAGGAGCACCTTCACTGTCGTGAAGCGGATGCCACTGAACTAGGGGGGGATGCCGGGTGAACTGAATCGCATAGCCGAGGCTGATGGTCCGCAGAAGCCAACGAGACGGGTTGGGTAGCACTAGCCAGGAACCCAGATACCGTGCAAACGGGACCAGCGGAACCACCGCCGTACCTGTAATGGGGAAGCGAGGTGGAACGCAGGGACCCAACTCGGGCGGCTTGTGAGCGGACCGAAGAGGGGTCTGAGTGTGTGGTGCAACTCTTACCTGGTTCCACAGTTTGGCAGAGGGTGCGTGAGTAGGGCCTTTGTTGATGCTCTCAAACCGCCCGCTGCTGCCTGCTGGCGATAGAGGAGGATGAGTGTGGTCTGGTGCTGGTCCGTCCGCGACTCTCCGTGCCCTTCTGGGACCCAGGGACAGAGAAAACCACTCTCTCGTCGAGATTTTCCAGATTCTCCACTGGCTCTCCTTCAGGGGAGGGAGAAGTGCTTTCACCATCCCCCAAAGAGCAGCTTCCTCCCTCTCTGGGTCGCCCATCCAAGGGCCTCTTGTTTCTCTCACCGCCAGGTTTGACGCCGGCCTGGATGGATGGGACGGCCTGCCTACGCCCCAGCTCCACGGCGCCGCTTGCTGGAGGCTGCTGCGGATGCAACGCGGGAGCAGGGGCGGACGCAGGGGGCCGCCCTCGGCGACGAGCAGGCTGGGGCTGCTGGGCCAAGCTCTTGACCGCGTCGGCGAAGAGGCCGGTCTGGGACACAGGGGCATTAAGGAACCGAACTTTGTCGGCATCCCTCATATCAACCAGACACAGCCAGAGATGGTGCTCCTGGAACACAAGTGTGGACATCGCATTACCCAGAGAACTCGCGGTGACCTTCGTTGCTCGGAGCGCAAGGTCAGCAACGGTTCGGAGCTCTTTCAGAACTTCCGGATCATGACCACCCTCATGCAGGTCCCTCAGTGCCTTGGCCTGATGAACCTGCGGTAACGCCATAGCTTGTAAGGTGGAGGCAGCTTCTCCACAGGCCATATAAGCATCGCCGGACAGGCCAGACGAGTATCTACGGACCCGGGAGGGGAGGCACGGTTTGCCCTGCCAGGTGGAGGCGGCATTAGGACACAACTGCATCGCAACCGATCGTTCCACAGGGGAGACCCCCGCATACCCCCTAGCTGCACCACCGTCGAGAGTGGTGAGGGAGGAGGAACCAGCAGGTCGATTTCCAGCAGTAAAAGGTGCTGTCCATGACCTGGTGAGCTCCTCATGCATTTCCGGGAAGAAAGGCACCGAGGCAGGGTGCTGAGAACCAGCGTGAGCCACCCCGAGAAACCAATCGTCCAACCTCGAGGGCCCGGGATGCGGTGGAGGTTTCTACTCGAGCCCTACCCTCTCGGCGGCCCGGGAAAGCATAGGATGAGTGTGGTCTGGTGCTGGTCCGTCCGCGACTCTCCGTGCCCTTCTGGGACCCAGGGACAGAGAAAACCACTCTCTCGTCGAGATTTTCCAGATTCTCCACTGGCTCTCCTTCAGGGGAGGGAGAAGTGCTTTCACCATCCCCCAAAGAGCAGCTTCCTCCCTCTCTGGGTCGCCCATCCAAGGGCCTCTTGTTTCTCTCACCGCCAGGTTTGACGCCGGCCTGGATGGATGGGACGGCCTGCCTACGCCCCAGCTCCACGGCGCCGCTTGCTGGAGGCTGCTGCGGATGCAACGCGGGAGCAGGGGCGGACGCAGGGGGCCGCCCTCGGCGACGAGCAGGCTGGGGCTGCTGGGCCAAGCTCTTGACCGCGTCGGCGAAGAGGCCGGTCTGGGACACAGGGGCATTAAGGAACCGAACTTTGTCGGCATCCCTCATATCAACCAGACACAGCCAGAGATGGTGCTCCTGGAACACAAGTGTGGACATCGCATTACCCAGAGAACTCGCGGTGACCTTCGTTGCTCGGAGCGCAAGGTCAGTAACGGTTCGGAGCTCTTTCAGAACTTCCGGATCATGACCACCCTCATGCAGGTCCCTCAGTGCCTTGGCCTGATGAACCTGCGGTAACGCCATAGCTTGTAAGGTGGAGGCAGCTTCTCCACAGGCCATATAAGCATCGCCGGACAGGCCAGACGAGTATCTACGGACCCGGGAGGGGAGGCACGGTTTGCCCTGCCAGGTGGAGGCGGCATTAGGACACAACTGCATCGCAACCGATCGTTCCACAGGGGGGACCCCCGCATACCCCCTAGCTGCACCACCGTCGAGGGTGGTGAGGGAGGAGGAACCAGCAGGTCGATTTCCAGCAGTAAAAGGTGCTGTCCATGACCTGGTGAGCTCCTCATGCATTTCCGGGAAGAAAGGCACCGAGGCAGGGTGCTGAGAACCAGCGTGAGCCACCCCGAGAAACCAATCGTCCAACCTCGAGGGCCCGGGATGCGGTGGAGGTTTCTACTCGAGCCCTACCCTCTCGGCGGCCCGGGAAAGCATAGGATCTCTGGATCCGATTCAGTCCCAGAGGGCGGCAGCGTAGCCGAATCTTCCTCTCCAGAGAGCTCTCCCTCTGATGCAGTGATCGACATCCAGTCGTCGGGAGGAGAACCGAAGGATACCGCTGGTACGCTCTTTGAAGAGGGCCCAGCACGTTCCTTTGGCAGCTCAACTGGTTGCGAAGCGCTAGAGGAGCGATGGTCCCCCGAGGGTTGGTTCCCTGAGGGGTTTGTCACCTCTGTAACCCTCAGACCGCCCGTGCTACTGCCCGAAGTAGTCCACGCCTGGCTGCCACCAGGACGAACACTAGATCGCGGCAGAGACAAGGGAGCTCTGCCCCCCTGGAGGAAACGGAGCCTGGCCCGCAGCTCCGAGATGGTCATCTTCCCGCAATGGGAACATGACTCATCCACGAATGCCACCTCAGCGTGTTTAATGCCCAGACACGTGAGGCAGCGATCGTGACCATCACCCGGTGCCAGGTAACGACCGCATCCAGAAACGCACGGGTGAAACGGCATCTTTAAAAAGACGATCCGTCGTCTTTACAAAGACGCACCCGCTTATTTTACTCTTTTAGAGAAATTGGCTCTTTTAGGGAAATGCTCTTTTACGTGCTGTTTTACGTGAAATAGCCACTTGCAGCACGACAGGGGGTAGTGCAGCCTGAAGTGCGCAACCCACTCGACACAGGAACGACCACCGCTGAAGCGCCATCCGCCAACACAAAACGTTCCAGAGAGTGCGCTAGACTCGTCACACACAAAGCAGTTTGGTAGGAGCAGAACGATGTTGTCGCTCGGCTCCTCAGCGAAAACCTGGTATGTGTTGCACCGGCTGCTTTTTATGCTCACGCTGTGTGCATTGGCTTGTTTAGTTTACACTCGAAGTGGATTGGTCTCTCTAAGCGAGATCCCAATTTGTCGGACGCGACGTGACTTGTAGTGACCGACTGAAAGGGAACAAATATTTTATTCTTTTGCAATTATCTTAATATAATGAATAATGTTCAAATCAAATATGATGTTACCGCCGGCTGCACTGTAGATTCTTCTGGTTGACAACACAGATGGTATTCTGATTCCGGAGTAAGTGAACACTTTGAACTGGTTTTGATGTGTGTATTCTCTGTGTGCTGGTCCTTTACCTTGAGAGAGAAGAGGAGACTGTGAAAAACAAAAACAAAAAAAACTATATATATATATATATAAATATATACGTATATACACACACACACACAGTATAATGATACCTTTGACAGTGGAACGTTCCACGGGAGCAAATGGACATCCAGTATGTTTTCTCTCTGTCTCACAGTTATTGGTCGCAGAAAGAGAAGTACTTGGGCAATGACAGGGGAAGGAGGAAAGATCATCCTTTTTAAGAGGCCAAAGTGGGAGAGATCTCTGATGTCAATCATCACATGAGTTTCAGTCACTTTAAAAGGTTTCATTATTTCTACATTACCACCAGTGAAACGTGCTACAGCCAAACTGTCTTTGTTTTCCTCTGTAAAGCACATATCATTTACAATTTTCATTGTTGTCATTTTAAAATGTATTCAACAGGTTTTCACAATAAAACTGAAAGCTCATGTATACCCTTAAATATCTGGCTACAGATTCAAATAGTTACAAACTTAACACTGTATCATCCATTTATCTATCATAGGATGTAAAAATGAACCTACCACAGAATATTTCACAGTGAGGAAGATGCAGTCCTGAAATTGAACCATTAAAACAATCAATGTTGTACAAGGGTCCTGCAGGCTTCATCTGACCCAAACCATCTAAAAGACCAGGATTCCATGAGACAACTCTATATAGCACCTCTCCTTCACTCTCCATCACAAACACAAGGCTGGTCAGATTGCACAGAAACTGACCAGCATGTGGACACACAAACCTGGAGGACAGATAAAACAATTTCATGTTTAAGTTATAACTGCCTTTTATTATGTATAATATACAGTGTAATTCAAAAGATTTGAGGGTGTAAGGGTTTTAGTAAAATTAATGCAACTAAATCCAAATAATTTACAATTTACCAAAAACAGGAAAGAAGTTATAGCAAAATAAATTCAACAATAGTGAGGCAAAAGTAAAGGAAAAGGGAAACTGCAACAGTGAGTGGAAAAAGAAAAGAAAGGACAATTTGATACTGTAAACTCCTTAAAACTGTATTTTCTTATAGTATCTAATAAAAACAATGTTCAATGCCTGTATATATTCTTGCGTTTGTCCTCATCATCTCTCTGAACATGTTTAGGTGTGAACACTTCTGCATCTTCTGAGGACTAAAAGGAAAGGAATAGTTTATCATCAAAACTACTCATTTATTACACAATCAATTTATGCAAAAATTCTTAATCAAATTATTAATAATTAATAATTCTCTGAAATCTAGTTGATTATACATCAACTAGATTCTATCCAGCGATTACAAATATTCTGTTCATAAGCATGTGCAATAAAGTATCACTTTATCTGATACTGTAAACTCCTTAAAACTGTATTTTCTTATAGTATCTAATAAAAACAATGTTCAATGCCTGTATATATTCTTGCGTTTGTCCTCATCATCTCTCTGAACATGTTTAGGTGTGAACACTTCTGCATCTTCTGAGGACTAATGTAAAAAAAAAGGAAAGGAATAGTTTATCATCAAAACTACTCATTTATTACACAATCAATTTATGCAAAAATTCTTAATCAAATTATTAATAATTCTCTGAAATCTAGTTGATTATACATCAACTAGATTCTATCCAGCGATTACAAATATTCTGTTCATAAGCATGTGCAATAAAGTATCACTTTATCTTTTGTTAAAATGTTATCTCTTTCAACCCATCTCCAGATTTACAATAATACATTACATAAATATATTTAAAAAAAAAATCTTAATCATTAGAATGAATTATAAGAATTTACTTAGTAGAATTGGTAAATAATTATAATCCTGACTGTATCTTGTTATTATTGTGGATTGCTTCAATATATCACTGACTATTTAATCCTGCCATCAAGTGTGTAATGTTGTTGATGTTTAGCGATTCATACAAGTGTTATTTTTTCATGCTTAATGAGCGGATTAGCACCGCTACGCAGAGTTGCTACTCACTGATTGTGCAGATGATTCATCTCTATGTGCAAGTAAATAATTATCAGAAAAGCAGAAAGAATCTCGAAAAGCTGAAGAATCTGAACTCTTTCCAACTGTCAGACAAAAAAATAAACACTATATAAAGAACAACTGTCATAAATAAGTAGGGCTATTTTAAACCTAAAAAATTCCATTACTTCCAAAGCAAGGCTTATTTGCACCCACTGGAAGTTTTTATTTTTCCCAGGTGCATCCAGTTATGAGTAAGATCATGTGAATACACTTACTGTTTTCTCTCTTCATCTTCAACTTTTCTGTGACTCTCTTCTCACCTGGCTGAATCAATACTGTTTTCCCCAATCTTAATCATTAGAATGAATTATAAGAATTTACTTAGTAGAATTGGTAAATAATTATAATCCTGACTGTATCTTGTTATTATTGTGGATTGCTTCAATATATCATTGACTATTTAATCCTGCCATCAAGTGTGTAATGTTGTTGATGTTTAGCGATTCATACAAGTGTTATTTTTTCATGCTTAATGAGCGGATTAGCACCGCTACGCAGAGTTGCTACTCACTGATTGTGCAGATGATTCATCTCTATGTGCAAGTAAATAATTATCTGAAAAGCAGAAAGAATCTCGAAAAGCTGAAGAATCTGAACTCTTTCCAACTGTCAGACAAAAAAATAAACACTATATAAAGAACAACTGTCATAAATAAGTAGGGCTATTTTAAACCTAAAAAATTCCATTACTTCCAAAGCAAGGCTTATTTGCACCCACTGGAAGTTTTTATTTTTCCCAGGTGCATCCAGTTATGAGTAAGATCATGTGAATACACTTACTGTTTTCTCTCTTCATCTTCAACTTTTCTGTGACTCTCTTCTCACCTGGCTGAATCAATACTGTTTTCCCCAAGCTAATGAGAATAACATTCAACACTGATTAATGCTGCAGTCTATATAATATATTTTATAATAAAAAAATATCATAGTATATAGAAATAACTTTTACACAGTCAGAGTCCCAACTCTGATGTGTAAGCAGCAACAATAGTAATAATGTATATTGTCATGTGTTTATGTGTCAGAACAGGCAGAGCCTGAAATTCACTCACTACAGCTCTTTACAGCAGTACAGTTCAGGTTGGAGCATCTGCAGATTATGAGACGTTTCATGGATTTTCAGGTTTCTGATGTGTTCACAGCACTTTAAAACATATTTTAACACCCAACAGTCTGTTCTTTTCAGAGGCATATTAGACAGATCTATTAAAACCAAATGTTCCAAAACTTTCCCAATGAAGCTCTTCTCATGAAGCTCATAGAGACAATGGAGAGCGAACAGCATGTGTTCATTTTGATATCTCTGTGAACACTGATTGATCCATTCCTTAAGCTGGGTTTCTATGTTAATTGAAAGGGTCATGTTGTGCTTTTCAAAGAATGAGGACATCCATTCTTTCTTACAGAGACCACAGAGGAACAGAATCACTGCATGCAGCAGATTTGCATGTCTTACTTCTACATCTGCTTTAGAAAAGTCTCTATCAGACCAAAAGGACAAAGCCCATCCTCTCTCTACAGTGTGAAGCAGCTCTCTCACTTTCCTCTGAGACTCTTCTTCATCCAGAAGGACATAGTAGAGAGCAGTGAAGAACTCCTGAAAGCTGAGATGCATGAAACTGAACATTGTCTCCTGGTGGATTTTTCTCTTTAAGAGGAACTTATGCAGGAATGGATTGCCAGCTGGGTCTGAAATTGTGTCATAAACAGTTTTTTCATCAAACAAGACTTGTTGTTCCAGCATGCCTCTCTCTGCCAGCTGACCCAGACTCCTCAGCAGGCTCGGGACAGACTGACTCAAACCCTGGCAGTGATAATCCAGTAGAGTGGACACAAAGTCAACGTAGATAGAGGTGGTGGTTTCCAGTCCACTCATCATATCTGCACCATCACTGAACCTCTCTCGCATAACCATGCAGATGATCCAGCAGATGACAGGGATGGAGCAAGCAGTGATGAGAGTTTGATTTACTCTCACACATTCATAGGCTTTCCTGAAGAGCTCCTCATTCTGGAAGAACTTCTGGAAGTACTCCTCCACCCCCTTCTCAGAGAAGCCCATAATCTCTGTGAAACGCTGAGGTCCTTTGAGCAACATTCCCTGTGGGACCTCAGTTCTAGTAGTGATCAGCCGGACAGATCTGAGCAGGATTTGTTTATTAAGAATGGAACAAACTATGACCTCAGGTGGGGCTCTCTGGAATTTGGATGATATGCAGTGTTCACAATGCATGGATCTAAGTTTATCAAATCCATCAATGATGAAGAGCACTCTCTGTGATGAGTTCTGTAACATCTTTGAGATTTGATCTAATGTTAAACCACAATTCCAGCTCAGGAGCTCAATCAAGTTCATCTCCTCAGAAATACACTTCAGCTCTTCACACCTCAGGTAGAAAGCTAGATTAAAGTGTCTAAGGTAATGCTTTCCAGATGCCCAGTCCAACATAATCTTTTGAGATATGAATGATTTTCCACTACCAGAATTTCCTTGGAGAATGACAGTTGCTGGATAATACAGATGTATGTCTGACTTATTAAACAACTCATCCACACTGATATTCTGAAAACGGCCTTTTTTATTTTTCTGAATAATCACAGGTTCAGTGTAGAGGGCAGCCAGTGAGACTCTTTCACCAGAGAGGAAACTCCTCTCATTCCTATGCTCATATTTCCGTTTGATTGACTCCTTGTACTGCAGTACTAGAGAAAAACAGAAAACATTATTTATCCCCCACAATGTTAAATTAACTGGAGAATAATCACATAATAAAGTCATGCTGAGATGAATGTCTTGCTAAACACCACTGAACAGACAACAGAACAGACAATTCTTTTGAATCAAGAACGGAGCTTTTACAAATGACTGAAGTTTAACTTATTGCACTGAATTACTAAATAACCTGAATTTTAATTTCTGGTTTAATAATCTAAATAAATATGACCTTCAATGTACAAACTGCTTGGTAAAGATCCACCATGTATCAAAAAAGAAAACGGTTCACTATATCACCAACGTATATCAGCTTTCAAAATAGTGATATATACGTTTTTTCAGATGGTGATTTATTTCAGCAATCAAAGTATTGTTCTCATATTAAAAAGTCAGACTATTAATCTACCATGTATGACAATAACTGAGGTTTTTGCCTGGCCCTGATTAAAATGAATTGGTTAGAGCTCATGTCAGCTGGAATAAGGGCAGGTAGAGATCTCATAACCTGAAGTCCTTTGAGTTTCTTAGTGCAGACACAAATACAGCAGCTAATTATAATGTTCATCAGCAATCAAAGCAGAGCTCTCATTTTTTAAAAAGACAATATGAACCTACTGTGGGTTATAGGGAGTTGTTCAGTCCAGTCATGCTCTCCATATGGAGGGAAACTGCGCCACTTGATAAAAGAGAGAATGATGAGTGTTTAAGCATCTCATGAACATGAAGTAAACAGACACACAAAACATTGGTTGAAAATAAAGAGCTTTCAAGTGCTTTTTAGTTCACCAAGGTCTCATTATATCAAATACACATTGTAGGAAACTTCTCATCACTTACATGATAATATGACTGAAGTTTCATCATTGTGTCTGGCCCTGATTGAAAAGAACTGGTTAGAGCTCATGTCAGATGGAGTAAGAGCTGGAGTGCAATTTAATCTGATGTTGATTTAGCAGAAAATGTTTTGTGCCCAATGCTTTTTATTCTAGTAAAGACCCCATAATCTGATTTCCTAGGACAATGAGTTTCTTAGTGCAGACACAAACACAAATTCAATGTTCATTAGCAATCAAAGCAGAGCTCTCATTTAAAAGAGATAATATGAACCAACCATGGGTTGTAGGAAGCTGTTCAATCCAGTCATGCTCTTCATATGGTGGGAAACTGCGCCACTTGATAAAGAAAGAATGATGAGTGTTTAAGCAATTCATAAACATGAAGTAAACAGACACACAACATTATTAAAGGGCTTTCAATTGCTTCTTAGTTCTCCAAGCTCTTATTAGGAAATTTCTCATCACTTACATGATAATATGACTGAGGTTTCATCATTGTGTCTGGCCCTGATTGAAAAGAACTGGTTAGAGCTCATGTCAGTTGGAATAAGGGCAGAAATGCAATTTGATTTGAGGTTGATTTAGCAGAAACAATTTGCCCTTACTCTGATAGATACCTGATAATCTGAAGTTCTTTCAACACTGAAAAAACTCAAGGGGAAGAACAATGCAAGCATTCTGTTCAGAGTAAAGGCTCAGTCACATTTACCATTTCTCAGTGAAACTTCCAATAGGAATCCACACAACTGGTAAGACCTTAGAAGTCCCGGTTGCTATAGAAACCGTCAGCGTTCTGAGACGCACGCTTAGGACTGCGCATGCACATTGGCTGGTCTAGCATGAAAAATAAGCTGTTTTTAATGCTATTGGAGCATAAGAAACAACATTTATGAGACAGTTGTTGTCAGATTTCATTGGTGATTGCAAATACGAAATTTAATCGTAAATTTGGTGAACAGTTTTGGAGAATTTGATGTTTCCCCATTCAAAGAGATAGACGGTACACTTGCATGCCCGAAAGGCGTTTCAAAGATGGCCGCCGAGTGAAATGACTAGCCTTAAAGGGACTTTGGTTTATCTCAATAATTGCGAGTTTGCCAATTCTGAGGAAAAAAAGCCAGAAGTGTGGGATATAAACTCATGATTCTGAGCTGAGGGAAAAAGGGAGAATGACAAGTTGATTTATGACGAATTGTGAGATATAATCTCGGGATTTCGAGAAAAAAGTCAGAATTTTGAAATATAAACTCTTCTTTTATTATTATTAAACTATTCTTTTATTCCATGGCTTCCATAGACTGCTACTTTATAGCTGTCACTATGACGTGGTGTAATCGGCTGTTAGCATCACACTGGTTCCCTCGACAAAAACCCAATAGGATTTTTCCATGGCTTTTGGATTATCACAAAAATAAGCTCTGTATTCAACCATAGTTTATGATACTTACACATTTTGTCTATCAAGATAATCTTCACAAAATAATATAACTTTTGTGAATTTTGAAGCCTGAGTACAAGCGCCAGAACTAAAAAGCTCATCTTGGCTTTAAACTAACTACACCACGGTCACTTGCCTTCAACGTCACCACCACCATGCTTCTGACAACTTTTTGGATCATACATATATTGGATTATAAAATATACATATCTATCAAGGATTTGTTGACTTTTAATGCACCTTATTTCAAATGTACAGAAAAGGGTGTGGATCCTGCACCTAATTATTGCAATCTTAGATATGTTTGCTCCTATCAATATTATTTTAGTTATGTTATATATATATATATATATACTATTATAGTTTTTATTGATGTTTTGAATAAACTTTTATTTGTTTATTTTTTCAGGTTTAATTGTAATTTAAGTTAACTTTTTTGGGCATTTCATATGTGCTTTATTTATGATTATTTTATTTTTTCACTACTTACTATTTATTAATTTCATTTCAGTTTTAGTTTGGCTCTAGTTTTGTATTTATTCCAGTTTTTATATGAAAACGTTAATCTTTTATGAAACTAATATTGCAAATTAATTATTTTACATTTAAATGATATATTATATACATTATAACAGTGCCCTGCTGACTACCTTAGATGTTTGCCTGATTTGTTCAACAACCTAGCATGCTTAAATGTCCCATATTTGATAACTTTAATTTAATTACAACAGGTAGAGTTTGTTTCAAGCAGGGGGAAAAAAGAAAAAGAAAAGTGTAGACTACCCATCAAAAAAGACATTTGCAAATATCTTTGCATTATCGTGTGCTATGCAAAGTTTACTATTCAAATTTACCACACTGAGAAAAGATGCTAATATCAATGTGCACGATTGACAAAGTTCCATTCAAGGAAAGTCGGTTCTCTCGGCAACCATATTTGTATTTGTAGCAACTCATAATGTAATAAAATGTTCATAATATAATTTTCTCAAAATGTAATAAAATCTTGAGGTCATAATGTAATAACAATTATTAAGGGATAGAGATATAGAGATAAATGCCCAAATGAATCTCAGACGTGAACATACTTTGCTTAATCTTTTCATGTACAAATTAATTTCGTTTTAGAATTAATTTGTTCATGAATGGATTAAGCAAAGCAAATATGTTCACGTCTGAGATTCATTTGAGCATTTATATAGAATAACTAAACTATAGCTGATCTTTAGTGAGGGGACATTGTTCCTCTTAACATCATGAAAAAAACCCTTTAATTAAAATTCTGAATGCATTACAGATAGTCTAGTATGTGTGCAAAGAGTGCTCCCTTTATCATTTCAAATGCACTGAGCCTGTCACTCATCTCAGTTCATCGTTTCAATGGACATGTCTGTGATTAGCTACACTGCTCAACGCTGCAAACATTGTAAACAGAAACATCTGATGCTCTCCAGAGTGCACATGCAAATATGCACAGAAGAGTTTGCCAAATATGTTATTATTACAGTTTCAACTAAGGGTGCTCTTGTTTTAGTTTTTTGTGAGTGTGATTAGCTCCCTAAACTGGGCGTGACACGAGAAACTGCTTTCTGTATGGATTTAATATGGAATGTTGCTTAAATACGGGAACAGTTGGCAATCTTACTTTGCATGTTTTAAACACGAAGATTATGTTCTTACTTTGGCCATGCATTAAATGCACATCCTTGAAAGAGCGCAGTTTGCTGACATATGTACTTTAAAGTTCTCGTGAACCGGAAGTTGCTGCCGACTGGATTTCAGTGTGGTGATGAATTTCCAACTGAAACGGAATATTGAGTAGAGGACGGGGTTTTATTTTTGCGCTCCTCCTCTCATGTCTCACTCACAGCAGACTAATGGTCGGAGGGGCATGGTTAAAGGAACCCTCCACTATTTTTGAAAATAGGCTAATTTTCCAACTCCCTTAGAGTTAAACAGTTGAGTTTTACCATTTTCGAATCCATTCAGCCGATCTCCGGGTCTGGCGGTAGCGCTTTTAGCTGTAGCTTAGCATAGATCATTGAATCTGATTAGACCGTTAGTATCTCGCTCAAAAATGACCAAAGAGTTTCTATATTTTTTCTATTTAAAACTTGACTCTTCTGTAGTTACATCGTGTATTAAGACCGACGGAAAATGAAAAGTTGCGATTTTCTAGGCCGGTATGGCTAGGAACTATACTCTCATTCCGGCTCTCCCATACTCTCATGCTGCTGTACCATGGGTGCAGCAGGCGCAATGATATTATGCAGCGCCTGAAAATAGGCTAACTTCCATCAACATAA